TTCCTCCATACTGCTCGTCCAATGTATTCCAAGTGTCCTGAGTGGGTAGCATCCAGAATTTACTCGAAACGAAGTCATTTAGAATGTTTTTAGAGCATAAACAGTAGTGTATAGGATTTCCTGAAAGCGCGCACATGCGCGCTCACGATTCTACGGAAGCCGGGCAGACCAAGCCAGATGAAAGTGCGCATTCAGCGTCTGCTCTGCCGATAATGCAAGCGTAGAAGAAGAAATGTGCTGTTTACCTGTGCAAAGAAAGAAACAACGAAAGAAAAATGTCTGAGGACTTCAGTGTTGAGGAAGAGCATGAGTTCTTTGCCGAGCTGAATGCGCTGGTTTGGTCTGCGGGCTTCCTTAGCGTCGTGAGCGCGCATGTGCGCGCTTTCAGGAAATCCTATACACTACTGTTTATGCTCTAAAAACATTCTAAATGACTTCGTTTCGAGTAAATTCTGGATGCTACCCACTCAGGACACTTGGAATACATTGGACGAGCAGTATGGAGGAATATTGACACGTTTTTTGTGGACTTTTATGGACCTTTCTGTCTCGGTCACCGTAGACCTCCATTATTTGAATGTCAGCAGACAGCAAGAAGCCTCCCAGATCTCCAGATGCATTTGAGATATCAAAAAAGTACTCCAGAGTGTTGTTCAGCATGGGGGTGAGTAGAAAATGAAGGCTAATCATGTTTTGGGTGTACTATTCCTTTAAATAGACATATGGTACTGTATTGCCATTTATGTTTGCTCTCATTTTAAGCAAAATATCAACACCTAACGGAAGCTGTTTGGTCCTTTAGCTGCAGCACCCACCCAGCACCCACCAACTTTAATAACAAAGTTACACCCTTGCTGAGCTGCCTCTGAGTTGGTTTATTTACAATTCAATGTGGTGATGTACAAAACCAAAGTGAGAAGAAAAAGGTTTTCTCTGTCCAAATATTTACGAAACCTGACTGTAAGTGTCTCAGCAGCTTGAAAGTCTGCAGCCAGCGCTGGTGTGTGAGTCCTAACCCAGCCAGGATAAGTGATGACAGAGCAAGTCAGAGGCCCGACTCTTGAAGGGTGAACCGGTGTCTCTGCCAGAAGGCCTGAGATGAATGAGGAAGGATGGGAGGTGAAGCACTGAGTGCTGAGAGTCAGGAATGTGACCACTCACTCTGAGGGAGAGCTTCCATACTTAGCTTCAGGATTCTGGCTCCTTACTTTTAAAAGGTCCAGTTAATGCTGACAATCATTTAACCTTTTAATAAAAGGGATGGATCATCTGGGCCTTTTTTGGAGTTTTTAATCAAAAGTATTAGACTCATGATTCTAAATGTGATGCAAAAATTTGATTTGTTGAACCTACATACATTTAAATGACCAATTAAACAATTTAACAGGAAAGTCAGATTGTAGGACAGCTGCAAATGTGGGAACATCTCTGCAGCAGCAAGTCTGCAGCTTTTGTCTGAATAGCGAAGGGCAAAGTTTCTACTGTATTCTATTAAATCTACTTTTAGTTTCAAAGTAAGAAGGGACCAAAGACATAAGTTTGCTTTCCCAGCTGATCCAGTGATCAGGTGCCATCTTGAATTTTAAGGTCAGTGATGGCCAGAAACACTGAACTTTTTAGTTTGGAGTTGTTCATGAAGACATTTTAGCAGATTTCCTTTTCAAACCCATCTTCCATTAGAGATGGAAACACTTCTCGGTATTTCAAAATAAAATCTCTGGTTGTGAGGTCATATCAGTGAAGCAACAAGTTGTAGCTTCTTCTAGCAGGCAATTACAGGAGTTAATTTATGAGGCCGAGCTCAGAAAGTGCAACACTTCTAAGTCCAGTTTGACTATTTCTGACAATGGCACAGTGTGTACTGGTTTTGCAAGTTTCTAAGCAGGAAGTAGATGCAGCATGAGCTTGAGTAAAGTAGACAAACCTGGAAATCCCCCATCAGGTTTTAAGCCTGAGCACTCCGTGCTGAGAGGCAAAAGGCTAAAAACCTTCCAGAAGCAGTCCCTGAATAGTTACCAGAGTTTTAACATATTGGTGTTGTGCATTTACCTAATATGAACATGTTCCTAGATATGATTAATGTTGTGCCCACTGCTGGTGTCAAACAAATCCTCTTCAACCTCAGCCTGACCGAGGAGATGGATTCAGTGATGGGGAACACCTCCTATCTTGTTCCAAAACCAAATGCTTCCATTTGTGATCAATAAAGTATTTCTGAACTGAATTGATTTAAATTATCTGCAGGACAATATAATAGGTCTTATTTTGACAAATTGTTGTTTGCTAAGTATGGCCAATGCACTTAGAGTATATCTGCACTTTTTTTTTGCGTTTTTAACACCTGTTTTTGTTCCTATGGTACGATGGAGTATTAGGACCAGGCTAGAGATTTTTTTATTTTTCTTATTTTGAGAATAAAGTCGTAACATTACAAGAAAAAGGTTGTAATATTATGAGAATAAAGTCATAATACAACAACCCGTTTCAGAAAGAAGCTTCAACCTCCGACCAGCAGATGGAGGCCGACCAGCTCCACCAATCAGCAACCTGAGTCCACTTTGACATTCTGCCCAATTTGATGCTGCTGCTAAAAGATTTCCTTATTTGTCAAACCACAGCCAAAGTATAACTTCACATGATGCTTGACATTCCTCATTTTAGGGAAGAAAGTGCTTCTCGTAAGAGTTGTCATAAAATACAACTTCTTTCTCGTAATTTTACGACTTTATTCTCATTATTTTACAACTTTATTCTCAGAATTTTACGACTCTCTTCTCGTAATGTTACGACTTTATTCTCTGAATTTTACGACTTTATTATCATCTTTTTACGACTTTATTCCTGTAATGTTACGACTTTATTCTAATAATTTTACGACTTTATTCTTGTAATGATGTGACTTTATTCTCATTATTTTACGAGTTTATTCTTGTAAATAGAAGAAAAATAGAAGAAATAGAAGAAAAAAAATGTCTCTAGCCTGGCCCTAATACTCTGTCGTACTTCTGGTGCATCAAGCCACAGAAGACTTTTTGACTTGAAATAATTAAGTCCACAGTGTTCACACATTAAAAATAATCCAATGGTTGCTTTAGATTAGAAGATGAAAAATGAAACATGCTTTACAACAAGATGTTTGTATCTGAGGCTTTTGTGACCTCTGGCAAAACTTAGACAAAATGTGCTTCAAGGAGTAACGAGTATGATCACATATTGTACTCGTTACTCCTTGCCTGAGTGGAGTAACAAGTATGAGTAAGTGTTTTGCCGGATTAAAACACTTTAGGCAAATTAGAAACGGTTCTGCTTGATTTCAATCAAACAGTCAACACTGTCAGCCAGAATGATTTGACATTCAAATATGACTTTTAAGACTTTAAGGGCATCATAAAATCATTCCACACATATTACTGACAAGTTTTATAAACTGCATTATTTTTAATTAGCTTTTTACAGATTACATTCTCTGCACTTCTAGGGGCATTCCTCCTCTACAGTGAAAAGCAAAGATGCGTTTCTTTTGGTCTGCATTGGAGTTAAAGGTGAAGGATGTTCTTTTTCTGGGTGGATCATCAAAATAAGTGGTCCTCCTAATTGTCAATCATTCTGGTGATATGTTTACCTAACGCTGTCCTACGTGCTCATCCACATTTTCACTTACCGCTGGTGAGTCTGACATAGTGGAAAAATTGCAAATCTTCTTTTGAAAAGTAAGCTTGTATGAGTGATGCAAACAGCAACTTTTAAACAGCGGGTACACAAGGAGAAATGGGCTCGTTCATGCTCTTGCACATGTTTAATAGACGTACAGGGTTGTGCATATGCATTTTATTTAAAGTGGAGAGGGCGCGTCTTTTCAAAAAAATTGCTAAAAATCTTACCTGTAACAACATTTTTATTGGTTGAGAGCAAGCATGTGTTTTGGGCTTGAAGGGAAGAGAATGTGATCTGTAAATTGAACTGAACAGAATGCAATTCGGAAAACTAAATATGAAAAAGGAAATAAAAAATTTAAACAATAAAATATCACAATAAAAGTATAAAATCTGTAAGTTTAAAATTCAGTAAAAACTTAACCCCTTGAAGCCTTAATTGATATACATGTACATAAAAAAATAAATTTTGTGTGTTTTTCCCTTTCAATGAGATGCCAAATAAAAATGGTTAATATTACTAAATAAATAGAAATGAAGGTAAAGTATATTTTGTAACAGCAGTTATAACTACATAATAACATACACTGTGACTAGCAATGGGGTGATGCAAAAACGCTACGCTGCAAAAATATTCTGAAAATAAGTAAACAGATCTTAAAATAAGTGTATTTAACCTTAATATGAGGAGGAAATAAGATGATATTTCAATGGAATGAGCATTTTTACCCTTAAAATAAGATAATTGCATATTATGCACTTGAAATGAGAGACTGCATTTGTGTTTTTTTTTTCTTATTTTAAATGTACATTGTCTTGTTCCGATGGCAGTGTCTTAATTACCTGCTCAATAAATAAAAAAAAAGCTCTTATTTTAGGAAAAAATGACTTTGATTTACATTGTTTGCAGTGTAATACACGTGGTTTGTTGCTTATGAGCAACAACAGGCATCAATTTAAATTAAATGAAATTTGAAAGTTAAACGTAACAGTAGTTTGAATTTATCTGAGAAAACAGCAAAGTTAAAAGTTGTTGGTCTAAGTTTCAGTTCTGGGTTACATTTTTTTACTATTATTTTTTTTATTATTATTTCAATAGAAAAAAAAAAATGTTGCTTGGAACAATAATGGAAGAAAAAGCCCTCCATATATTGCCATATTAGAGCTTGTTATTGTCCTCCTGAGTGACGCCTCCCCCTCCTGACCCATAAATATCCCCTCTGCTCGGCAGTGACAGTGTTAACCAGGGCTCAGCTCCAGCTCTCCTCCCTCTATGTAAATGCTAGTGGAAGTGAGCGGGACCCGAGGCGGGGAAGCGCTCCCTGAATGAGGAGGCGGACTGGGGGGAGAGGGTGTGTGAGTGGTGGGGGGGATGTGCGCCCCTCTGCTGCTCGGTACGCGGAGGTGTGCGCTCCTCTCTCTCTCTCTTGATCCTGCTTTTGTATCGCTTCGGAGGAGAGAACCCACAGGACACCTTTGGATGCAATCATGTCACGGCCGCCGTGTCGTTTCCACGGCAGCATCCTCTGAATAATAGAGGCTGTTTTAATCCACGCAGGCGTCAAAGGGACCTTAAGGAATAAAGCTATGGGTGGGCAGATAACGCGGAATGCTTTGTACGGTAAGGTTTAAACCTCCATGTTATTCTGCTGTTATTAATAACAGATTAACGCTTCATTGATGTGGGGCTGCAGGTACAGTGGTGCCACTACAGCCTATTCTTTGCTCAGAGTGACGTCACTCCGGTGATAGGAATAAGGGTCTGTAGACGCACGGTGGTCTCTGTTATGATCCAGCGCGACGTCACCTCCTCCTCCTCCTCCTGCTGCTGCTGCTGTCTGGTACTGCAGCCATGAGGTGTTTGCCCTGAGGAGGAGCGGCTCTGTGGAAGATGGGAAGTTGTGGGGTTTCCCTCCACTGTAGTTTCCCTATTCAATAAACAGGCGCTCAGAGCTGCAGCTGCGCTCTAACAGGCAAAGTGCGCTTCTGCATGTTCACTGGAGATCCACAGCATCTCGGCTCAAGAGATGCTGGCCTGCACCAGGCCTTCTGTGGTAACACACAGGGTAGGAGGCTTTAGGTGATGATGCTTCATTTATACCAGGAGGTTAAGCTGTGACCCCACTCCTGGTCTTGATCACCTGATCGTCCCTAATTAAAGCCTAAGTATTGATCCAATTACTTTAAGCATGACAGCAGGAAGAAGTCCTCTGTTGCAGGATCAAGGTTAAACAGCCCAGGAAGTTACTTTGTTCTCTACATCAAAATGAGCAAAACTGGATAAAAAAGAGCTGAAACCTTCCACGGTTCTATGTTAAAATAAGAAGCATTCCAAACCTTACAAACTCTGCTCGCCTTATTGGATTAAATTATACCTGGCTGTGTAGTATTGGCCGATACTGATAGCCTGACGTAGTCCTACTCAATTCTAGTCAGAATATGAGTCTGATACTGCTCCATAGAGCTGTGATTATGGGGC